AGGCTCTCCACCTTCCACTCATCCCCGCCATTGTAGTCTAACCGCCACGATCCCATGTTCTCTGGAGAAAATGAAGCGTAGGTGAGATTCCCTTCAAACTCTGCCAGCAGCTGTAGTTGCAGCCCTGAGGTACACCCTTTGAGGCCCATTCTAGTCCTGGGAGACTTCAGGGGGTTATGGATTAATCAGCTTGCTTCTTCTGGAGGGTACTCAGCAGCCATGGATAGCACCCCACCAGTCCAAGAGCATCCTCTGTGCCCTGGGTCCCCCGCATCACCTCTGACTTCAGTCTCACCCCTTTCTACTCTGCCCCAAACAATAGGACTGAGAATTTTGAGCTAAATCTCACTTCCCATATTGTCACGGGGCCCCACAACCACATTCAATCCTTACAGAATATGATCACGAGGGGTCTGTGATGGGGCAGACCTTAGGGCTGATGGGAGTTCCTCCCAGTGTGGCTGCTTACCTGGCCATTGGCTTTCCTAGGTTTAAGAGGAAGAGGCCCTGTTTAGCTGTGTGACCCAGATCCTAGGGGCCAAAGGAACCTACTGTTCCAACACCGTTAGATACCCTTTTCCTGGGCAAGTGCCAAGATGGCACATTGGTGTCCCCTGGGCTAGTAGCTGCAGGAGTCCTGTGTAGGGAGGGACCTCCAGGAATGGGGTCAGATCCAGGGACTCCCCCCGCCCTTCAGGCTAAGCATAGCAGAACTTGGAAAGCGCCAGTGTTACTTGTGGCCCCAGAACCATCACCTGGTGAGCTCTGCCATTCCACTCGCCCACCCCCCACGAGCTCACATCGTTTTCATGTATTCTAGGGGGCTCCCCAACACAGAACCAAAAGAGTGAGAGAATCTGAGGTGCTGGGAGATTTAAGCAAGGCTAGACATAGGGGCCACAGAAAAGGCAGAGTGGCTTGGTGGGGTCCTGAGCTGAGCTGAGCTGGCAGCCTGGCTGGGCAGCTTCAGAGTGGAATCTGGGCCAAGCAGGGATTGAGTGTCTGAGGCACGGCCTGTGAGTCTGGACTGGTCTGAGCCTTGGTCATCCTCCGAGGATGGCCATTCTTGCGCTAAGTCAAGCAACACTTTAGGGTCCAAAGTACTCCACAATGTGGACAGCCACTCCCCACTGTTTGGGGACTTCCAGAATCATAGCGGGGACAGGGAAAATACGCCAGACATTAGGAGCGTACAGACAAGGCCTCTTTCTCCTTACAGAGTCCACGTAGCCCTAGCTGTCCCGGAACTCACTTTGTAGATCAGGTTGGCCTTGAATTTACAGAGGTGCTCCTGCCTCTGTCTCCCTAGTGCTGGGATTAAAGGTTTTCACTGCCACATCTGGCTCAGGCATCAACCCAGAGAAGGAAGATGGCTAGGCAGGTAAGGGTACTTGCTGGCCAGCCTGACAGCCTGAGCTGAATCCCAAGGATCCGCATGGGTCCCTCAGTCGGCCCTCTGACTGCCACATGCACTCATCCCCCAAATCAGGCACACAGAATAATAGATGAAGGGGCTAGGCAGGTCTAAGGCCCAAACAGCAAAGAACCACACCGTGGTAAGTGTTGGGGACGTGGGAACATTGCAGGCAGTGTGGTCGAGCAAGCAAAGGCCCCGAGGTTCAGGAAAGTAGACAACAGGCTCTCAGGCAGCCTGGCCTTTACGACCCGCCCCCCACTCCCCGCCAGCCCACCTTCGGCACACGGGTTCCGAAGGAGGTTCCTCTGCAGGCTGCACAGGAAATAGAAGATCTTCCAGTCTTCCACGGGCTCTTCCCAGTCCTCGGTGATGAAGCCGTCTTGCAGGCTCTTGCGCTTCCATAGCGTCACCACATCGATGAGGTCTCGCCAGAGGCTGCAGACCAGGCGGCAGTTACACAGCAGCTGGCGGGCCGGGACGTGGGTGAACAGCTCCAGCAGAATGTTCTCGGGCAGCTCGTTGATGTTGACCATGGTGGCGACAGGAAGCTCTGCTTCCAGGCCTGGGAGTGGTCGAGGATGACAGTGGCGGTGAGCCCTGAGCAGAAGATCCGAAAGGACTGACTCCTCCCCTCCCAAGGTTCTAGAGCTTGCTAGGCCGGTCTTCCTCTGACCTGAAACCCTTAGAGGAAGCACTTATAGGGTGGGGGTGGGGTGGGGTGGGGTCCTTGAGATCGCAGGGACCCTGCTACCCGCCTTTGGCAAAGGGTGATACAAATGGTGTACCGGATTTGGTGGCTTGTGCCCCAGGTATCAAGGAGTCTGCTAGGGCCGGGCGGTGGTGGCGCACGCCTTTAATCCCAGCACTGGAGGGGGGGCGGGGCAGAGGCGGGTGGATCTCTGTGAGTTCGAGGCCAGCCTGGTCTAACAAGAGCTAGTTCCGGGACAGGCTCCAAAGCTACAGAGAAACCCTGTCTCAAAAAAAACAACAACAAAAAAGTCTGCCTGGGCTACTCGGATTCTAGGTCAGCTCAGCCTGGGCTGGTTTTCAAAAGCCGCCACGAGAACAAAATTAAGCTTTTAAAAATTCTTTGCAGTGCTAGGGATGGAACCTGAGGCCTCATGCACGTCATTTGAACTATATCCCCGGCCTTGAGCCCGGATATATCAGTTCTGAGTCAGTTTGGGCAGCAGAACAAGACTTCATCTCCAAAAAAGAACAAAAAACAAAACAACCACAAAAAGACAAGATTCTTAAACTCCTCTCCCCCTCCCCCCATTGAAAAATAATTGTTTAGGAGCTGGGTTTGGTAGTGACCTTTTGTAATTCCAGCACTTGAGGGGTGGCAGAAAGAGGATCGAAGATTTCTAAGTCAGCCTGGGTTACAGGAAACTGTCCGTAACCCCTCACCCCAAACTGCTTTGTTTTAGATCCAGCTGGTCCCCTGACCCGGAAAGAGTCTTTCAGGGCCACTCCATAGTTCCTTAAGTTTTCCGTGTCTAGTCCTGACGTCACCGCAGTAAAACTTCGTTTTAAGGCCCAGGTGCTGATATGTTGCCTTGGGCGTTACGTGATTGGCAGGCCAGAATGGGAGTGTCTGTAAGCTCCAGGTCATTCCCGCCCCCTCACCTGCCCCAGGGGCGGGGTGGGCTGTACCGGGCTCTAAGCTGTCTCTCACAGGAGCACTGCTGCCTAAGCCTGGGGAAAACGCTTTCCCACCTACTTTCCGAGAAACAGAAACTCCCAGAAAGCTGGTGGCACGGGAAGGTGCGTGCCACTGGCTCCTGCCCTGGGGGAGTGATTACCACGAGGGGAGGAAAGGACCACAGGGATCTGGGCCATATTTAAATGCTTAGCCAGAGAGGCGGCTTCCAGGGGCTGGGGAGATGCTCAGCCTTTAAGATCACTGGCCGTTCTTTCAGAGGAACCGGGTTCAATTCCCAAACCCACATGACAGTTCACAACTGCCTAAAACTCAAGTTCCAGGAGATCTAACACCAATGCACATAAAATTAAAGGAAAAAAAAGGTGATAAGAGAAGCAGGGTACAGACTGTGATACGGTCTTCCAAATGCTTACCATTAAAAAAAAAGTGTTAAAATTATAAATAAATGAAGATCAGTGGCGGCACACCCTCATGGTCCCAGATAGCTCAGCGGGAATTTTGAAATTTTCGGCCCAACCCCATCAATTTATACCCTGTCTCAAAATAAAAAGTAAAAGTAAATAGGGCTGGGAATGTGACTCATTTGGCGGATGCTTGCTTGGCAGGAACTAGTTAGTACTTAGAAGCGAGAGGCAGGAAGACCAGAAACGAGCTGCCGGGTGGTAGCTTGCTTATCTAACACTTGGGAGACCCCAAGTTCCTCAGAAGCAACCGACAAAAACCCAGGTAAAAATATGTGGATTAAAAGACTTTGCCAAACTCCTGATCGCTGCCTAGTCACTGGCGCCGAGTGGGGACCTCCCACTGCCTTGGCCCTGGTGGCAATTCCGCCCCCAATGACACCTTCGCCCGCAACAAGCCACCTTGCAAAGGAGATAGCAGTGCCCCTGATGTGCCTGGGTGGAAAAATCCACGCTGGGTTCCGGCCGGCTCACGTTCGGACGTCCCTCCTTGGCGCCAGAAGCCCTCTGCACCAAGGAGAAGCCGGTGTCGCCACCGTTCCGGACACTCGAGTACGGACCGCAGGCCCGGCGCCCCGGCGCCGGACTCGAGGACACCGGCCGCGCCTGGCCCGAGCCTCCCCGCGAGCGCGTGACCTCCGTCTCCGCCCCCCACCCCCGTCTTCCCTCCCCGATCCCCGTTGCCCCACCCGGCCGCGACCTGGGCACTGGGCGGCCGCAACTCTGCTGGGCCTT